TCTTCTTGAGCCATTTTTGGTCTGTTCATGCCCTTTAAGTGTGAGCAACGGAGCCTTGGGCTCCCAGGTCGCTGGGTTGTGACGCTGTATGTGGGGGCGTGGTCAGAGCGGGAAATGGCGGCCCTCTCTGCAGTTTTGCACCGCTGGTGACGAGCAGCGCCTTAGGTGGTTCACCGGGGGCAGGGCCACTCAGAGTCCCTGGGTTATGACGCTGTACGTGGAGGTGGGGTCAGAGCAAGGAAATGGTGGCGCCCTCCCTGCCGATTGCCTCGGGGAACAGCTGGGTCCCGGTCCAATCGCCCACTCCCTCGCTTGTCTATCCCACACCGTGACCACAGTCAACCCGCAGCCCTGCTCCCTCGCTGTTTCCCCCAGGTCGCTGGCTTGGTCGCTCGCTATGTCCAACCCTGCGCCTGGATTCCTCGCGCCTGAGTCCGGCTGGTGCAATCCCGCTCCACCAGGTGCTGGTTTCGCCCCTTACCGGTCAGACTGAAGAATTTGTTGTTAACAGACTTCTGAAAAGGTCAATTTTCTGTGTTCTGGCTGTGTTTTCTGTTGCTAATATTTAGTTGACTCTAAACTTGGTTGTGTGAGAAGGCACGGATATCCACCTATGCCTCCATCTTGGCGGAAGTCCTTTTTGTATGATCTAGTTTCTTTTTTTTTTAATGCCAATAATCTCTATGTTATTCATTTTAAAATTATAAAAATGTTATTTATTTTTAACTATGATAAAAAAGGTCATATGTTATTCAATAGAAATACAAATCACATATGTTTGGGAAACCTTTGAACCTGCAATGGTCCTTTCATGGGACGAAGATTTGGGTCAGAAAAGTTGGTGAAAAGATAAACAGGAAAAGTGGTGGCAGAAGTACAGGTATCTGCTTCCTCACTTGCTCTCACTCCTCAGCTTTATTTTATCATTTAAATGAACATCTATCTTCTATATGTGTGTTTCCACTGATACAAGAACCCAGATAAACTTGTTTAGGGACAGAGAAGCCAGGAGTGAAAGGCATATTAGCTTACGCCTGAGAAGGAACTGGGAATCAGCAGTGGGAGCCTATTGTTTGCAGATAAGTAATAATACTAAATATTTTAAATATATACTTATTGAGCACTTACTATGTGCCAGAGTCTGTAAAAGGTGCTTTATGTGTAATCCCTTGTTTAAACCTCAGAAAACCTATTATAATTCCCATTTTACACATTAGGTAACCATGGCACAGAGAGACTAATAACACAACTAAATCATAGCTAATTAAGTGATTTTCCTTTTGTTCATTCTATAAGAAACAGAAAAGAAGGGCGTAAGAGGGAAAAGGCACCTAACAAATATGTGCTTGGTGCACATTCGGTGTCTAATATGTGCGTGTTGACTATGTGTGTGGTGTCTAATGTTTGCTTGTCAGTATTTGAGGCTGTGCAGCAGTTCTTGGGAGCCTTCATCAGAAAATCTACCAGGCAATAAAATCTGCAAAATGTCTACAGAGGCAGCAAGGGGCTTCTTGAAATAGTTGAGGTAGATTTTAAACTGAATTTTAAACAGTCATTTTTCCCCATCAAGTTCCTCCCATTGTGTAATCTTATAATATTATGACATTCTTACCTCTGATCTTACTAAAGGGCTGTATTTATAGCTGGTTTTATAAATTCTTATGACTCACCCCATAAAGTCTGTCATGAACTGGAACTTGAAAAGATGAGAAAAATATCCTTGTCTGTGTTAGAGTTATAGGAGTTAAATAATACTCAAACTTTCCCCCCAGTTTTATGCTATTTATAACTGTTAAGAAAGGAACCCTCTCCACCATCTTCCAAGAAGGGAAGTTCATTAAAGTTCTGTTTACTGGGACATGATTGTGGTGAGGATGATGATGAACACGTCCTTATTGCTTACTCACTACCAGAGACTGATTTAGGCTTTATTTTTAATCTTCACAACCACCCCTGGGAAATGGGTGCTTCATATTTGACCAGTAAAGAAATCAAGGCTCAATGCATTTATTAATTATCTAAGAAATAGCAATATATCAATGATAAAGATATAATATACTCAAAATTTGAGGTCTGCATAATGCAAATTTAAGTAAGGAATTAAACAAACCACTTAAAAACATACCAACTTCCCAAACTCTGTCATTGTTCTCAGTGCTTCCTCTGGGTGAGCATTTCTAGGGCATCTCTGGGCATCAATCAAATAGCCAAGGAGCTTGTCTCAGATTTGAGATCCATGAGTTTTCGTGGTTAGACTGACTCTCCTTTGCTGTGGCCTCTGGGAAATCGGGTGATACATGAATGTGTGAAACGCATCAGCAGTGAGTGCGATAATAAAATCTCTACAACCTGGCAGTGCCTGCAAAGTTTATCTATAACTATGATGCAGAAAGTGATAATTAATCCTCTGGATATTTCTTAGCTCTTTTAAGAGTCAGAAGCTACGTGATAGCTGGAGCAAAAGACACGTCTGTTTAGTTCTTTTACAGTTAAACTTGGAACCTCACGGGTCTCATCAGCAATCATTGTTCCCCAGAAAAGTGGCTTTTGGTCTTCTTTCCGTAATACAACAGATTGAAATGCTTTGTAATGAGCACTTTCCCATGCTCAGGATTTGGTTGAGAGCACTGTTGATCCATGCATGCCTCTGGGTTCTTAAATCCTTCCTGAGTTTCTCTGATCATCCTGGACACGGGGTGTAGGGTCAGTCTGTGAATGCCTGCTGTAGAGATGCAAGTCAGCTTCTTAGTTTTCTTTGTAGCTCTTTACTAAATCAGAGGTTATAATTTCATTATGCAATTTTTCTCAAAGAATTTACTATCATCAATAAAATTAAGTACTTTTTAAATATTATTCCAAACTGTTCAATAATGCTTGTCTTTCATGGGAAGGATTTAACATGGATGCCTTTTTTCCGTGGTGTTTGCATTTGAAATAAAGAATGTGAATACCATTCTAATGAAAAAGAAATCACTAAAAAAAAGTATTCTCTATCTATGTATTTATTGATCAATCTATCAGCTGTCTATTTATCTGATGTCTGTCTATCTGTCTATCTACTACCTGTCTATCCATCCTTCCATGTATCTATCTGGTAATCCATCTATTGTCACAAGTAGATATAGAAACAAATAAATAGATGCACATATATAAGTAGAGATGTATAATATATGTAAATATATGCTGTTTGCAGTGAGATCCACTAAAATATTAATACCACAAAACTGTAGGCATAAAATTGTGGGGGTTTTATTTTTCCTCATTTTCTTATAGTCTAAACTTGATTATATAATAAATTTCATAAAAATGTATAAAAAGTAAAATATGCTCAGCGCCAATAGCCATGAACCATGTTTCTAAATTAGGGTCAGTGAATATTGGTGAGTACAATGATTTGATGGGCACTTCCTAAGAGGCCACCTCAACCGTAAAGGCTTTCTTCAGTGGCCCTCTCCTAAAACAGGATTGCACATGAACTTCAATTTAGTTTGGGCTGCTGTATATATGGAATGCCATAGACTGGTGGCTTAAACTGCAAAAATTTACTTCTCACTGTTCAGGAGCCTGGAAGTTCAAGATCAAGGTACTCACAGCTTCTCTTTTTGGTGAGGACCAGATTCGTGGTTTGCAGATGGTTGTCTTTTTGCAGTATCACTGGTAGGAACCAGAGAAGCATTCTGCATCAAATCCTTTTTGTTTAAATAAGAGAATTAATGCCATCATTAGGGCCCCAGACCCATGACCTAATGTAATTATAATTATCAGCCGAAGGAAAGACTTATTTAGAAGTTCTAGCACATTGGGAGTTGAGATTTTAACATGAATTTCTGGGGGGCACAAATATTCAGTCCACAGCACCCTACTTTGGGCCTTCATTCTGTCCTGTTTCAGTTGTGTTTCTTACGCCATATATTTGGTTGTATTTGATATACTAGAGCCAAAGCACAGCTCTTAGCTTATAAAAAGGATAAATGCCCCTGGCTGGTGTAGCTCAGTGGACTGAGCACAGGCCTGTGAAGTAAGGGGTCGCTGGTTTGATTCCCAGTCGGGGCACATGTCTGGTTTGTGGGCCAAGTCCCCAGTAGGAGACACATGAGAGGCAACCACACATTGATGAGTCTCTCCCTCTCTCCCTCCCTTCCCTTCTCTCTAAAAATAAATAAATAAAATTTAGAAATCCTCTTATTTAAAAAAAAAAAGGATAAATGCTGTGGAACAATAATTTCTATATAATCTCAATACTTAGTATAGCTTCAAAGCAGATGGCTCTAGACATAAAATGTCATAATGTTGCATTATTTGAAAATTTGTCTCAGTATAGGAACTACTAAGAAGTCCATTTAAAATTCTTAATTTCACAGGATCTAGTATTATAAAACTTTTAAAATGTGTATTCCAACTTAAGAATTGTTACTACTAGATACTGGATACTAGAGAATCCACAACTATCTGACTTCTATGTACAAAGACTAATAAAAAGCCTAAGTACATAACTTTACTTAAAATAAAAACAAAACAAAACAACAGCAGCAAAAACAAAAGCACATATATGTTGTCTAGTCAAAATAAGTGTAATACAAACACCTATTTCCTTCAAACTGCAATAAATTACATGCTGCCTAGCACCATCCTGCTTTGGACTGGAGTTCATTGTTTTATATATTTTGTGGCAACTGCTAATTATCATAAGCTGTCCAATAAATGTGATGGATTATCCAATTAACTCTTCATCAGCATCCATTTTGGAAGATGATACCTATTGAAACTGATGGCAGTTTATGACCTCCATGTTGCATGTGTAGCTAATTACTCCTTGGACAGTAATTATCAAGTTTCTTGTGCCTCATTCAGTCATTTTGTTTTACAAATTATGATGCCACTGAGTCTCCCAATTCATTCAACTTCACAGTGATGGCTCTCCGAGGATGACTGAAGGTCTGCTGTGGAATGTGGGGGTTACATGCACATGGAGGTAGATTACAGATGTATCTGTTTTGTAGGTTTTCCATCGACCGGCACACTGACCTGGAGAGACAATTCAACATTAATGCAGACGATGGGAAGATAACGTTGGCAACACCACTGGACAGAGAGTTGAGTGTATGGCACAACATAACCATCATTGCTACTGAAATTAGTAAGTGCCTGGGTTTAATTTCTCCTTTGCGTGACTGGGTTTGCTGTGTGCCGAGTAATCCCATGATAAATGGTCCCTGTTTTTGTTAGATAGTTTTGGCACTGGAATGCATTCTATTATTCCTAAGGGGCCTTTGAATGAATCACATCAGCGAGAAATAACTTACATGGCGTTACATTACCGAGGGTTGCAATATATGTGGGAAGGAAACTTTTTTATATTCAGATATTCTTATAACTCATACCTATTATTCAATCACCAAAAACAATGTTTTACATGTTAAAATATAAGAAAATATTTAGTATAAGAGAGTGGGTAAAAAATAGAACTCAAGGACTATACACTATAATTTAAATAAGCAGACACTAACATATATTTATACAATAGGGAAACTATCACATATCTGAATCTCACACATACACATAGATAGACAGAACCTTCATACTTTCAATACACATTATTTTGGGAAGGTGAAATTATAGATGACTTTTTATTTTGGTTTTTAGAGTTTAATGTATTTTACATACTAATTATAGACCCTTTAAAATTGTATCTCCAATATAATTTTTTTCATAAATCACATGCAAAAATGTAATCTTTTTTTGTGACGACATTCTAGGGTTGTTAAAAGAACACGTTAGTCTTTCTGTGCATTTTTATGCTGGTGGCTTCTTTGATTGCACTCCACGACACTACTGTTGAGCCTCTAAACAATGGCTGGGTGGTGATAATGCTTTGGTCCAAAATGCCTATACTGACTTTGAAAACGTGCACTCTGCCTTAAGATGTTCATTATTATATGAAAACTTGCAAAAGGGACATGATATTCATTTTACTTCTAAACAAAACATATTTTGCCTGTTGTCAGATCCAAAAAAAGACGTCCAGTTCTTGAGGAAGCTGGGAATCTGAATAAGGAAATAGAAATTGACATGAGGAGAAACCCATAGACGCACATACAGTGTAGAAGATGTACATGATAATTACAGGGTGCAGAATCTAAAATCTTCTCTGTCCTCTGTCCTAAATCTGCTTTTTGTATTCACAACTAACGTGAAATTGGGAACTATCTTTGAGACACACAATGGATTTGTTTGTACCAATGAAAGTAACCCAGGCCTTCAGAAAGGATGTGGGGTGTTCTTGTTCTGACATGTGGGGAAAAATGTCCTCCATGGGGCCTTAGAAAATGAAAATGAAGCAACACTGTGGGAAAAGGTGAAGATTCAAGAGTGAAGAGTGTGTGTGTCTTACAGCAACTTCAAGTGTAGGCACAGAAACACGCAGTGGAGCTGATGTGTAGTTTCAACTCTAGTGCGTAGAGGGAGCTGGGGAGAGGATGAGCTTTGGACACCTGGATGCTTTTCCCAGCTCGGAAGTACCGTTTTTTTCCTTAGTGTGTTGCCATGGTAGTCATTTCCCCTTGTACCATTCAGGGACGAAGCTAACAAAACATACCACCGGGTGACCTTGTCTTATTAAAAGTGTTAACCACATCTTGAGAAGTACAGGCATAAAGTTTTTGTAATTTATAACATTGATGCTGCATGATCACCTCAAGCCTCTGAGAAAAACTCTATCTGTTTAGATTGACTTAAAGGCTTATCAAAATGCTCGAAAGGATCAGTTTTCTTTACAGTATATAGGTAGTAATTACTTGTAAAATAACTTTCTTATGTATTGAATGCAACCTAGTTGAGTTAGTTTTCATCCATGACACTGTTGCATGAGACGGATGCCTTCGCTTAAATATTTATCAAGGAGGCCCCAGTTAGAAGGATCCACGTACTTCATTTTAAGAAAAAAAAAATCTATGCATAAACAGAATAGTGGTTAAGAAACAATCCAGAGCCCTGGCTGGTGTAACTCAGTGGGTTGAGCATGGGCCTGCAAACCAGAGGATTACAGTTCGATTCCCAGTCAGGTCACATACCTGGGTTGCAGGCCAGTTCCCAGCAGGGGACACATGAGAGGCAACCATACATTGATGTTTTCCTCCCTCTCTTCTTCCCTTCCCATCTAAAGATAAATAAAATAAATCTTTTTTAATAAAGAGAAACAATCCAGAAACACAAGACTTATTTGCAAGAAATCACAGACAAGTAGGAAGACAGGCGCAAAAACTGATGCTGAAGGGTAATGAGCTGTGAATTCCAGGTCAACAGGAGTCCCAACCCCAGGCAGAGAAGATGGGCATTTGTTCATTCACTCAGTGATTATTAATTGACTCTAAACTACATAAGGATAGAGCAGTGAGCAAAATAGGCATAAACACAGGTGCTCTTGGAGTTTTCGTTCTACTGGCACCTGGAAGCCCCTGCACCTGAAAGAGTGAGTAGGAATCTGCTGAGTGATCCGTGAAGAATGACACAGAGGTGAGAAATAAGAACACAAGTGTAGGAATGACAAACAGTTCTGTATTGATGGCATGAAAACAAGCGCCACAGCATACCTCTCTCAATGGACCTATGGTTATATTTAAAAACTGTAGCATAATAAATATGGAAAATAAGACTTTATGTCTATTGGTAAAATAAATATTAAGGTTAGTTTTCATTTAATCAAAGTCTATATATTTTTACATTCAGTGTTATTTCGTATTGGTTTCCCATGTGCAGCATCATGGTTAAACAATCAGGTACTGTACAAAGTATTGGCTGATATTTCCAGTATCCACCTGGCAGTATCTGAAGAAACTCAAAACACAAATGTGAAAGAATATCTGTACCCTGTGTTTCCTGCAGTGTTATTTATAATCACTGAGAAATAAAAGCAGCCCAAATGCCCATCGATAAATGAGTGGGGAAAAAGAAAGACTGTGGTACATTTACACAATGGAATATTACCCAGCCCTGAAAAAGAATGAGCTCTTACTATCTGTGACAGCATGAATGAACCTACAGAATTGTACGCTAAGATGGCTAAGATTATTTTTAAAGTAGCACAGTTATAATGGTTATTATTATTATTATTATTATTAATACAGTATAATCAAATTACAAAAAAATTAAAATGTATACCCAATAAAATTTTCTATATAGCTTGAGAGAAATCACTATTTCCCAGACTCAGGTTCACAGTTGTCTCCAGAAAGAGAAAAAGTACAGAGAAGCTCTGCCCACATGGACACCATGAGCCTGTCTGTGAACCATGAAGAATTTAAAATCTATAACCCAACCTGACATTATTCTGTTCTAATAATGAGAGTTATCTTACCTTTTCAATTAATTAATTAGTGTATTTGTTTTTACTCAGAGATTAAAAACTAAACAAAATGCATAGACATATTTTGGCCGAGAAGGAAGCTTAATTCAGGAAGTTGACATCTCAAGAAACATAAAACTATAAGCTTTGATAGCAAAATTAAATTTTTTTAATTTTTTTAAATTAAAAAATTTCATGTCACTTTCTTACATTCAGAAAGATTAAGAGTTCAAAAGACAACTTTAATTTTTAGCTGCAAAATATAAGCTGAGGTGAGCATAAATTTAGAAACTTTAAAAGTGCAATTAAGTCATCTTTTTCTAAATCATGAAAAGAGGTAGAATACAACCACAGAGAACCTACAAAAAATCGCAAGTACTAAGAAAATGGCTCTGTAACTTGTTTTGCCTTGATCTGATTATTTAGCTCATCACATAATATTTACCTTGCAAAGCCACACACCAGGTCTTGGGGAATAAATATTAAGGGGAGATTTATTGTGTCTGGATGAGATGAATATTTAAAACCACCCAGGACAACAGAACCCCTTAGGGAGAGATTCTAATAAAGTTAAAGAAATATTTATTCCAGGCAGAACAATTTAAAATTACTCTCAGAACACCATCTCATCAGGCAAAGATTTAAACAAATGAAATTAAGCTAAAAAAATGGATTTTAGGGAAGTCCATCTGTTAGCTCTTAATGAGAATGAAGATGTTGTCTTTAATCCTCTTGTGTCAGATTCACTTAACTGAGGCTGAGATGCTTCAACTGTGTTCATCTATCTCCCAAGTATTTCACTGCTAATAGATCCAGCTTGCCATCACAATCAACCAGAGTGTCTCATTACAGGCGCTGGCTGTTAGATGCCCAGGTGCTAACAAGAGATTGGGCTTATCTAGCGTATCTCTGCTAAATTTCTCTGCTAGTGGCAACTCCATCCCCTGCAACTGTAGGGCAGGGCTGCTGTTTACCATGGTGGTGAAGGTTTAAGGTACATTTAGCTGACTAATTAAACACCGAAGAAGCATTCTGGAAGCCCTACGATGCATTTAATTCTCACACCACCCTGTGAAAGTAGGTTCTATTACTATACACATTTTTCAGAAGAGGGAACTAGACACCAGCTAGGTAACTTGCCTGAGATTTCATAGAGAGCAAGGGTTGGGTTAGGGGAGCAGGAGCAGCATTCATGCTGTTTAAAGGCAGGTTCCGAGTTCTGAGATGCCTTCCATGGAAGAAACCTCTTCTTTGCTTTCACTCTCCTGCTTACATTGAGCACTGACACCAGCACATCCTGTCCTGAGCAAGTGAATGAATTAGTTCTTCTGTGCAGAACAGAAGGCAGGTGCAGGGACGAGGGTGCAGGGGAGGAAAGAACAAGCACGCATTAGACCTGGCCCTTCTATTCTAACGCCTGCAATCCATGGCGGGAATAGTGTCTAAGGGACAGAGCAGAGCTTTGGAACCATTCAGGCTCAAATTCCCCTCCCACTGTAGAGATCAGGAATGGAGTGACAGGGAAGGGAGAGAACACAGAATTCCCTGTAGGGGAGAGCATGTTTCAGTGAAGAACACAGAGAGGTTAACTCACCCAGCTGACCCAAATCACCTGGGTAACTGTTAAAACCAAACCCACCGAGTTCTGGGTCTTCCCCAGGACTTCCTGCATCCCAGTCTCAAGGCAGGGACTCAGGAAGGCAAGTTGCAAAGGTTCTTCCCGCCTCCTCTCTACCTCCTGCCCCGCCCCATCAGATGTACATTGTACCAACACTGTGAAGGCAGGCAGGCAAGGG